AGAGGAGAAAAAGGAAGTGGAAGAGGGAGGAGGAAGGGGAAGAAGAAAAAAGGAAAATCAAAACTGAAGAAGTTGGCAGAGGCTAAAACATTCGACCATTCAGATCGCAGTGAGGGACCCACAAAGGATTTTACTTCCAGATACTCCAGCGCAGGGTGGGGGAGGGGGCAGATTGCTGTCCTCGTCACTTTGGAGCAGTGTAGAGGACCGGCGGGTGGGATGGAGGTCTTGGGGAAGGACAAGGTACTTTAATCCAAACTAGGAACAGTGACTTCCTGAGCCAGGAAGAGAGCATGAGAGTAGAAAAGGAGACACCAAGTAGAGAGATGTTCCCGAGACTCAAGAAGGCTGTCTAGCCGTGCAGAATGAGGGGTGTGGAATCCAGAAAGACGACTCTAGGCAGACAGCTGTCTTTGCAGCTGAACGTTAGGGCCGTTGCCCCAAGTACAATACAGAGAAGGAGGAGCAGGCCTTACAGCAGAGATGGGGAGTTTGGCTCAGACGCGCTGCGCTGCGAAGGTCAAGGGCAGCTAGATCATGACTGAGGCTAGAGCTGTGCCTCAGCTAGCCAAACACTTGCCTAGAATGCAGGAAGCTCTTCCCAGCACCGGATGGAACCTGGAGTGGTAGCACATCCTGTAATTCCAACAATTGGTGCAGGAAGGTCAGAAGTTCAAGGTCATCATCCTTCATTACACAGGGCCAGCCTGGGTTACCTGAGACCCTGGTGGGGGTGGGGGTTCTGAGCTCAGATTCCTGTCTGGGCTTTATTTTATCAGCATAAAGACGGTAGCGGAGTACACTTTTGAATGCATGAGGTGGAGGATGAGAAATGCCTGGCAAGGGCAAACCTAGGGAGGGAGCCAAAAAAAAAAAAAAGCCACGGAGGCTGGGAAGATGACTTGTGGGGGCGGGGGATAAAGGGCTTGCTATGCAAGCGTGGAGACCTGAGTTCAGATGTCAAGCACCCATGTGAAACACCGGGAGCAGAAGCATGTCTGCAGCCCCAGAGCTGAAGGGATGGACTCCCAGAGACAGGCTCTATCCTAAAGAGCAAGCTCTAGGTTCAGTGAGAGACCCTGTCTTAAAATAGAAAGGAGGAGGCTGGAGAGGCGGCTCAGCAGCTAAGAGCACTTGTTGCTCCTGCAGAGGACCCGGCTTTAGTCCCCATCCATGACTTGGTGGCTCACAACCATCTGTAACTCCAGTTCCAGGGGCTCTGATGCCCTCCTGACCTCTACACACACCATACACATGTGGTGCACATAAATACGTGCAGGCAAATACTCACACACAAGAGAGAGAGAGAGAGAGAGAGAGAGAGAGAGAGAGAGAGAGAGAGAGAGAAAGGATTCCCAAAGTCAACCAACTCAAAGCTCTCATTGTAAGCAGGCTGAACTTAAACTTCAGCTCAGTGCTCTTCCTGACTCTGCCTCCTAAGGTGTATGCCACCACTAGCTAATACATTTTCTTCTCAATATTTATCAACATTGGAGTTTTTATTTACTTATTTTATGATTCTCCCACCAGGACCATTGCCTTGTATCCATGCTGTTACTTGGCACATAGTAGGTTCTCCATACAAATTTTCTAGTGCAGTGTAAATGATCTGTCTAATTGGATTGCACTAGAAGCCCACCCTAGAAACCAGGTCCGGGCTCTTAATTATATCCTGCAATTCTGAATGTTGGCCAATAGGTGGCGCGTCTGTGTAAGTGAGGAAACTGGCAGCTGGCATTGCGTGTGGCTCAGAGACTGAGAAGGAAAAAATCACAAAAGTGAGCAATCAGTGGATGTGACCTGCAGAAATCTGCATCCATTCCCTTAGCAGATGTCACTAAAGCACCAGCCGCAAGCCTGGCCTGGCCTGTGCTTTCTGGAGCTCTCTGAATCCAGGTCGGAGGAAAGCAGCAAGGGGGGGCGGGGCGGGAGGGGGGAGGGGAATCCCGCTCTGACCGCCAAAGCTGCCTGGGAATTACAAGGTCAAGATGAGGGCGGGAGGGCAGGAGGCTGATGAGGCGGCTTGCCGAGCTGCAGGAGATCTGTGAGAGGCTCAGACTTGAGGGAATATGCGTTAGTATCCACCAAGCCTCAATCTGTGATTTTACCTAAGCGGTTTTCCTGGTGAACTCAGTTTCCTTACCTGTGAAAGGGAGGTCTTAGTAGATCTTACCGCAATGGATGTTGACGGTAAAACAAGAAACAGTTGACACAGCCAGCGGCTTTTGCATAACTACAAAGCAAACTTGGCATAACCTGGTAGCTCTTTACAAAGCCCTCACCTCATTCTTTATTGCATAAGCCTAATCTTAATAACCCCACAGGATAAGTGTTTTTATTACCCCACTTCTCAGATAAGAGGGCTCAATTTATCAGGTTGTTTAACTTGTCTGCAATAAAAAAAAATTTAAAAAAAAAAAAGCTCATAAAATGATGGGTCCATGCCAAGTTCAGCCAGGCAAATACATACGCCACACTGTGTCCTGTATTACATGTGCTGTGCTGGGTACAGAGGACCCAGGACCAGGGAAGTTACCATATAGAGGAGAGGCAGAGGGAACAGATTTCCATAGGACATGCTTGATGTTGAGATAGGAAGATGCCTGGAATACTACAGAATAGAAGCAGAAGCTACTTGGCCCAACTGGAAGACTCTGGAAAGACTGTTTAAAGAGAGTGACCCTCTTAGTTGGTCCCAAAGGTTGGGTAAGCACAACCTGGACGGAGGAGGAGCTGGAGCACTCTTACATCCTCAGCTAAAGAGATGACATTTGCAGAGGACCTTCTCTAAAACAGGGCCCTCTCACTTAATAGACGGTGGACAGTCTGCCTGGTCTCCAGTCTAAGCTAAGAAAGAATGGCGCCACCAGAGGGACTGAGAACCCCAGAGCCGCTCCCATTGGCTGGCCCTCCTGCTTCGCACGCATCCGTCTGTAATTTCCTCTAGTGGACCCCTAGAGCAGAGCTCCTCAAATATGGGTCTGCACAAATGTCCCGGGTCTGTACCAAGCTCCTGAGTGAAAATGCAGCCTCTGGAGGTGACGGAAGTCTCACTGTCAGCCCCAAGGGAGGAGCTGCGTCTGGCATCACACACGGCAGGATCCACAGTTCATGACACCAAGCAGACAAGGAAGGAATGGACGGAGCAGGGCTGTAGCTGAGAGGAAGCTGAAGAAGATTCTGATGATGTGACAACTGAACCCAGAGACCCCAGCCGCCCTTCTCCAGCTCTAGTCAACACTGGGACTCACGGCACAGACCCAAACTGTTCCTGGTCCTTCCCCAGAGGTGCTGGGGCAGAGGCTGGGGTAACCCCTGAAACAGGAAGTACCAACTATCAGGGAAGCTGTGCTCTCAGTCAAGTGTCGCTGAGCTGACTCGCAAGCCCGCGAATCAGGCAAAGCAGGTTGCTGCCCCTTCCCTGATAAGATGGCTCAGCCCCAAGGAGAAAGGCTAAAAATCACTTCTACCTTTAAGCCTCCCCAGCTCCAGCTTCCTCCCTAGGAATTTTACAGAGGCTTTTCCATAGCTGCCCAGTCAGACCAAGGAAGGACTTTGCCCACCACTCCCCTAAGTGTACCCCAATGAACACACACGGGGGCGGGGGGATACTCATGGAAGGAGAGAGAGAGACTATAAAAAACATGGACCTCATAAACCAATGTCTGTGCTTCCTCCCCAGGGGATTTTTTCATTACTTATTTAACAAGTGTAAATGGGGAGGCCTCTGTGATTTGGGTACCGACCTAGGCACAGTAATGCCAGGAGGACCATGACAGATAAGGTCTTTCCTGTTCTTCCTTTGCCCTTCAGTACAAAGAAGATAAAGTGAAAAGTGTAGTGGAAAGCCATGGAGCTGTCACACAAGGTGAACAGGGCAAGCCTCTCGGAGGAGGTAACCCTGAAATGGCACCCTCATGGTCCCTTAGGCAGAGGGACTGATGGGCTAGGACCTGGGGAAGAAGAATGACAGGTGGACTGGTGTCTCGGGGGCACCAGGGATCGTGGGTGAAGGTGTTTGTGGGCAACTCTGAGTCCAAGTCATGTTTCAAATACAGAGGGAAGCCCAGGGGATCCAAGGCAGAACAAGGACATGACCCATCCAAGTGTTCCTTCCAGTGTAGGATGGAGAATTCACTGCTGATCTGTTAAAGGTCAGCTCTGTCCCCCAAAGCCTAAGTCCTGTGGGTTCTTCCCCATGCTGGCTGAAGGCGGGAAGAGCGGCCAGCCTCCCACCCTTCCAGCTGCCACACAGAACCTTCTGTGTGGATGCTGCTGACTCACAGGCAGTTGTGCCCAGATGGCCGCCTGTGGAGCCAACCATCTGGGTTGACATAGTATCTGAGGAATTCCTGGAAACCCAGCCAGGAGCCCACTTGGGTGACCCATGGACTCTGGAAGAAACATCCTCCGCGCTGCCCCAAGACTGTACCTGGGCCGCTCGGAGCGTTGGGGGCCAGGCTGATAAGACCAGTTCGTCAAGTGAACTCAGCTCTGTACAATGACTGGATGAAGCGCAATCCTATTTAGTCTTATCTATAAAAACCAGGAGTCAGAGATTGGGGTAACAGTTGAAAGGTCAGAGAAGCAGAGGAGCAGCTTCCCCTCCGCCCCGACTTGTCACTTCCTGTCTCCCCTCGGGACAGACCTCCAGACCTCAAGTGTTAACCAGTGGCTAGCTCCGCTCTCTCATCTCCAGGCAAGCTTTACTTGTCAGAACACAAACAAAACATCACACCACAACTTGACACCAAGGCAATGAACTGACAGCCACTCCAGAAGGGGGTGACAGTCCTCCGACCCGAGCTCCAGGCAGCCTTCCATGGAGCTGACCTTCCAAAAGAAGAAACCTTGGCCACAAGCTCCAGCTCCAAGCTCATGGCTGTCCCAGGGAGAATTTGAGGCTCAGTGGTGTTTTCCAACAGCTTCTAGATGCAGAATCTTGTTGGATGGGGAGTGGGGGGGATTTGCTTAATTTATCAACAAATCAAAGCTTTACCTCCCTGGATGCGCCTTCCAAGTCCGCCCCTTCTTTGTCCCCTCCCTGTGACTTTGAGCCAGCACCTTTCTCTCTCAGTTCAGTTTCCTGTGTCAGTGCAGGTTTGGACTGTGCTGTGTCTCCCCACCCTCCAAAGAGACCCCCCCCTTGTTACCCGCAGCAGAGTTCAGAGAGGATTTTCAGGGGCTCCCCACCCACACAGAATGAGAGATGGGAGCCCCATGCTGACCACTGCAGTGCGGGTTCCAGAGAATGGGCACAGCAGAGAGAGAGAGAGAGAGAGAGAGAGAGAGAGAGAGAGAGAGAGAGAGAGAGAGAGACCCTAGGTGTTGCCCACACCCTGGCTGACAGGAAGGTCAACTATGAAGAGCCACCACCCCTGTGGTGGGGACCTGTATTGGGAGGGTCCACCCGCTTCTGTTCAAGCCAACTGGGTGAGAGGTTCGCCCTGGCTGGACCTGTCTGAAGCAGGGTCAAAACCAGAGACTCTCTCGGCCTGGGCTCCACTGGGTCTTCCCCAGGCCTCCGTCCCCGTCCCCCCCTCCCACAGATAATGCAAATGTAGTCCCTGACTGACAACAAGAGCGGACGGACACCAAAACAGTCAACTATTTTTATCTCCAGATTAATCACAAAAAGGCTAAGGCTTCCACCTTCCTTGTGATTAAAAATTAGGAGACCAAACTCTATAGTGGTTCGGGATAATAACCAATCCTGTGAGGAGATGTATGAATAATGCATCTCCAGGCCCGGGCTTCTCTGAGGCTTCCTCCCCTCCCCACATGGCCCCAGCCATGGGCCCCCATCTGAATGGAGAGGTAATGAGTACTCCCCACCACACCCCTCCCATCTGAGTTACAGCTGCCAAGAACGAGTGTTGATTTCTATTCAGCCGATGGCCCCCAAACATCCTCCCTCCGAGTCCACCGCACCCCACCCCACCCCACCCCGCCCCCACCCATCTGTGGTGTGCAGCGAGGCGAAGGCCAATCAATAATGCATGGCTACATGAATAACCAGCATGATAACCACTTATTTGGGAAGATGTAATCAGGACCCATTCTGAGGGTGGATGTTTGTGTGTGTGAATGTGTGTGCGTGCCTAAGAACTCCCACAACACAGCCCCTCTCCCCTCCCAGCTCGCCTCATCCCCCAATCCTGCTAATGCAATCTGAAGCACAACACTGGTGAAGCAAGATGGAAGGGGGGTGTAGAGCCTCTGGTATGAGTTTCTAGAAAGAACACATACACACACACACACACACACACACACACACACACACACACAATCAGAACATAGAACAGCCCTATGCACCTAAGCCAAAAGCCCAGAGTACTCAAATGTGGTTACTCATCCACATGCTGGGGGACCAGCTCCACACTCTGGGGTCTCATTGGTCAGAGAGCATCCTGGCAATGGGATTGATGAAACTTCCCCAGAAGGTTGCCAGCCAAGCCCTGTCTGGTTCCAACACATGTCGGTGCTGGAGGGAGTGCTCACACTTTCTGCCTGAAGACACTGCCTCTGACCGTCAGCCATCATACCTCTTAACTCATCATTGCGAGAGGAAGGATGCCCAAAGGGCCAGGTGGTCCTTCTGCTCTGGGACCAGTCAGTCTCCTCTCAGCCCAACTCAGGAACGGGAGCTCCTCTTTCATGAGCACCCAATGCTGAGAAGGGCACTGCCTATACTGAGAGCTGAGCAGGACCACCCAAATTTCCACAGAGTACTGCAAGCCCCAGCCCTCACTGCTGGAGGGGCCCAGCCCACCCCCAGTGCAGGAAGCTGAAATCCCTTTCATCAGTTGCTAGCCACACCCCCATTGATGGAAAGCCCTAATTAACCCCCCTTTGCTCTCCGGCCACGCCTACACCAAGGAGACCACAGGCACTAATAAGAGGGTACAATGGGCACAAGCGGTTGGTTATCTTGGGTGTCCAGCCCATACCCGCCTGCCTCCTCCAGCCTGGCAGCTCCGGGGCCTCCTGGAGAGGTCTGGCTTCAGAGCTATGGGTATAGAAGGGTTAGATAAGGCCAACTTTCTCCCTGAGCCAGGATCATTTTGGCATCCAGAGCTAGTAAAAAAGTGACCCCATCTCCAGAGCCCTACAAAGTTGAGGTTCCTCAGGAAATGGAAATTCTGCAGGGCTGTTAGAACTGAGTCAACCTTCTGTGGGGACCAGACAGGGATAAGTGGGGTGACCAACTTAAAGGCTTGCTGCTTTGGGTACTGGCCTGTTAGAGAAGTCCAGTAGATGACGTCAGGAGCTGACGGGAAAGGAAGGCAAGCAGGTTCTGCAGCTGGAAGACACAGCAAACCATAAGCATAAGTGTTTGTTTGCCCAGGGTCAGGTTGGAGGGGTGTGTTGCCCCTAAAAGCCCATAAAAAGACCTCTGCACTAGGTCTTCAAACCCTGATAACACGCCCACCCACCTGTCCTTCATTCCTGAGAACATGCAAAGTCCCCACCTCTAGTGTGTCAGGGGAGTCCCTGAGCCCCTTCCAGCCTCTAGGGCTAACTGAGTAGACCCTCTTGGTCTACATCAGAAAAGACAGAAGTTCCTCAGGGGACAGCCTCGTCAGATGGTCTCCATGGAGCCCTGCCTCCTCCATGGCTGGTCCATCCAGCAGTAAAGGCCTGGGAAACTTAAATATGTTCAGAAGCACCAGCCTCAGAGGTAGCCGTGTGTCCTTAGTCAACTCTTAATTTCCCAGAGTCTTTTTATAAATAATAATTGATTACCGTCATCCCTGTCCATCCTACAGTGTGGCCTTCACGGGAATCAAATGTGGTTCATTGAATCCAGCAGGTGTCTCTGCGGCTGCTTCAAGGCGTGGAGTTCGATGTTGGCCCTGCAGGGACCTTGCTCCACAGTGTAGGGGACAATCCCAAGTCCATTCCCCTTTGGCACTATGGATATCTGAAGAGTGCCACCAGTCACTAACCACACTGTTACATGCAGGGAAAAAAAAAAGAAAGGAAGGAAGGGAGGGAGGGAAGAGAAGAGAAGAGAAGAGAAGAGAAGAGAAGAGAAGAGAAGAGAAGAGAAGAGAAGAGAAGAGAAGAGAAGAGAAGAGAAGAGAAGAGAAGAG